AGAAGAAGAAGAAACAAAAAGGTATAAGGGGAGGGTGAGGCAAATTGGGGTGGGGCAGAGGCGTACCAGTTAGAACGTCATGTGAAAACAAAAACGTATCAGGACAACTCCCACCGGCTATCACCCTCAGACAACAACTATCTAAGGGCAATTTCCCCCGGACAACTTCCCCCGGACAACTTCCCCCGGACAACTAGACAATTACCCTCCCAATGCAATTGCCCAAATCATTCTCCGACAATACTGTTGGCAGTAATAACAATTTGAGGGTATAAAATTGGGGGTAAGGATGTCTCTCCCTATACTTCACATTTCCCCTAATATTTCAGAATTTAGTGCTAATTGATACAATAATATCTATGAAATGCACGAAAATATATCGGGGTGGCGACATGCCATTACGAAATGTCGTCTGATATTGTTTCGGATGATCCGATTAAATGCCCTAGACACCAAAGAACGGTAGGGAAAGAGGGATGAGATATTAAAGGTAAGATAAAATAGATCGCGCATGTCCTGACTGTGCCTCATATGTTGGTCGCGTCATTAAAATCCTCCCCGATGCCCATTTATATATTTATAAGTCATTGCTGTAATGATTTTCTTTCAAGGGATCGCGAGACCGCTCCCAGATGACATATAATGATTATTGGCCTACTGTCCGAAAACAACTACTGTGAAAATATTTATCCCGTAGTTGGGACAGGTGAAATTGTTATTAAATATTGAAAACAAGCATTAAAGCGAAAATAACCTGTTATTATTATTAGTGATTAATAATAATAATAATTATTATTATAATGATAATAATGTTTTAGGTTTAGATAGCGCTGATTACAACGGCGATATCTATAAGCGGTTTACAGTTACTTTATTACCCCGTCATTGGATTCCCTTCAAATGATGTATGCACATTCTCCACTCCCTGGGGAGCATCACAGTCTAGGCGCCATTTGACAAACGCTCACAAGCCTGAGCAAACTACAGTGAATTTCGCATCTTAGGGGGTACCCATTTGGCGCCTGGTTGGAGAGTGGCAATGTCTTGTCAAAGGATTCGAACCCTCGGCCCTTTTTATTGAGAGTCACATGAATGAACCATTGACTATACCATTTCATAAGCCATGAAAATGATCTCTTTGTGATGGAGATAGAATTTGAGAGTTTGTTTCTCGATACAGGTATTGTTTGATGTGAAGACCACCACTGTGCCATCTTTCCCTTGTCACCCGCAATATAGATGGAGAAAAGGACGAGCAAACCTGTGCCTCAAACCAAAGTTGTTGTCTAATATTTTATAGATACTCTCCTGGTTTAACCCGAGCGATAAATTGCTCCTATTTGACGAAATGGCCATGTCTTGAAGTCTTGTATTCCCATCTTCCTTTCTCTCAGTATCTCTCTCTCTCTCTCTCTCTCTCTCTCTCTCTCTCTCTCTGTCTGTCTCTGTCTCTGTCTCGCTCGCTGTTTATCTCCGTCTCTTTTCTCTGTGTATGCAACTCTGTCTTTCTCATTCGCTCTCTCCATGTCTCTCTTTCTGTATCTCTCACTCTCTCTCTCTCTTTCTTTCTCATTCTTGCCCTCTCTCTCTCTTCTATTTCTCTATTGTGGTGATTGGTAATGCGATACAGCAAACATATGAGCCTCCAGAGATGGATTGCCCCCATTTCGTAAAATTACAAATCACAACATTATTGCGTCTGGCCTGGGGAGGGAGAGGGGATGCCGCGAAGTGGGGCAAATGACGTGGGTGGACGGACCTCAGGTTTAAAGAGGAAAATCATCCTATATAGAGAGAAATCCTCTTCCTTGGGAGGGGATTCTTTTGTTAAATATATCATTCAAATTCAAACAACCATCATATTTTATAGGGTAAAGCACCAGTTTTATATTTTATAGGAGCTACGCATCTTACCTTCTAGGAGGCACGAAATCGATGAACGAAAAATAGTCGAGTGACCGATTATTTCCTAATTTGAATCCGGTTATGTGTGAAAGTGAAGTGCCTTTTTTTCAAGGAAGGGGAGGGGGGTTGAGAGTGAATACAAAGTAAATGCTTGAATTTTAAATAAGTCAAATTACATAATTTTTCGATTCTCCTTTCAACTTAGATGAAATTTTCATCATAGATGAGCTGTAAGTTGCAACATAATTATCAGACATCTCGTTTCACGTACGACTGCATATTTTCTTCTGTTTTAGTTTAGATACTCTGTTCTTTTATTTTTAAAGAATGATATCAGTTTTATGCGATTTTGATATCCGCTCTGTATGTTTATCGTATATATTACTTAGGTTTAGAACAGACCACTGTACTAAAAGGGGGTTGACAACACCTAATATAACATCCCAGCGCCCGCTCCCTTGTAATATTATATTTGTAAAGCGCTTAGAGACATCGTAGATGTATTAAGCGCTATATAAAAGCGGAATATTATTATTATTACCGGTTTTGTATTACAATCATGTACCTAGATTTCTTTTTTAAATTGCATGTTTATTTGTTTTTCCTTTGATGGAATATTGTCTTCAAACGTTTATTAATATGGGTTTCGTAGATTTATTATAAGAAGATCCCCTATAGTTTTGCAGATTTGCCCGACATTTGACTTCTTATTAATAGGCCCATTTATTGTGTTACCTGCTTCTACCTCCCAAATATCATAAGCTCAGTTAACTGAAGATTGGCCATTGTAGAAATCGTCCATTGTGTCTTTAAGAAATTGCAGGGGGTGTATATTATCGCAAATCTGACGTATCTGGAGCGCGCAGTACCGTACGGCATAGAAACATGTTTTGGCTATTTGAATCCAATAAATCAGACATAGCTCTGAACTTCTGTGACTGTGGGCTGCGATATTTCTTTCCATCTATTATTATCCATGCACTTTTCCGTGGGGCACTCAGCCCGCGTTTCCTCTCGGTCACTAATTCATTCCAATTAATCACATAAATCCGATGGCCGTATTTGATAGATCTTGGGCCTGTTTCAATCCAGATCTCATAATTCTTAGATTAGGGGTTCGAAGAAAGTTAACACTTGCGTCCGTTTGCTTGTCTACGGGACCAGGATTGGGGAATTTGGGTTAGGGCTTATGCTGTATCCAACTGTGATCCCATGCGCTTCAGGTTCATCAGGTCATCGATTTGTTAAGCATTAAGCATTTCTAAAAATCTTGCCATAAATTGTCTTTTTAAGATTATGATCCTTCTGTTTACAGAAATGTAACACTGTAATTGAATGATGCCCAGTCGCTCTAATTGCGTGGGAAGGTTGTTCGACCTCGTTGAAAATACATTTGTAGATCGAACAAGCGATCTGGATAAGATTAAGGAGTCACTCTCTTTAATCAGTCCATCAATAAATCGTGGAAGTTCAATGTTTAAAGTCGGTCAAAACTATATTGCATAGGTCATCTGTATACAATATGTGGCTCAGCTCAAAACCTAGATAATTTTGAACAAGAATGGTGTTCCCCACTCGAGTATGTCTTTTTAGTGGGCAATTTCTTGTTGATATTGCGATATTATTTTAGATATCTGGTAACCAGTAAATACTGTTCACATTGCCACCCTCTTAGGCGTTTATGTAGTGCTCAACCACTTTATGAAGTAATATCCCATAATTTGCCATAGAAATTGTCTAAGAGGGCGTCTGCCGCCCTGTCGTAGGTTCACCGATTTCAAGAACGGACTCCGTGATTTCCTGTATTATTTGCTCCATTTTCCTAGGGATTTTCGGTAGACAGCAAGACATTTTATAACCTGAATACGTTGTCCACTGCAACGCTTCATTGGCTTTGGTGCGGTGATCAACCCCTTTATTTGGGACTGTCCCATATTAGAGAGTCTGTCCAAGAGGGCGTCTGCCACCCTGTCGTAGGTGCACCATCTCTGGCAATAGACCTCCATGATTTACAAGGTAACGGGTGACTCTGGCCTACTGTTCGACATCACCACCCAAGACGAGTCACGCCACGGACCCCTGGTTGACAACTTGACAGTGAGGACGACCCCATTAAAGACAACAGTGATCATGTTGAAAGTTTGCTTGTTGGAGTCGTGGAACTGTAGTTCATTGTTGACAGATATCCTATACGCTACGTTGAGAGGCTAATATTTGAATGCCGTAAACATGGGTTTCGGCTTACGCATCGCTAACGTCCCGATGATGTTATGTTATAGAGTCACAGGGGCCATGCCGGGTTGATGTGGCAATGGGGGCGGAGGGCCGGGTGAGGGCATACCATCTCGTTTCGCACCTCACATTGTTATCATCGTGAACATTGTAACTAAGAAGACCGGATTGGTACAGCTCGTGATAAAGACATCAGGGGCGTCATAAGACATCTCGAATAAGCCGGGGGGGGGGGGGGGAACTTAACAGAATTTTCCGACAAAGGTAAAGACTAGTCGTCACATTTTCATATTTTCATGAAACTGGTTCCACCAAGCAAATAATATGATGGTCATGATACCGACTGCAAATTTCGAATGGTTGTATCACACCCTCCAGTGCGGCCTGGAGATTAATGGGTGTATTGTCCCTGTGTAAATTGAAGACGATTGCAAATCAACTCAGGGGCAATTTCACTACCCTGTTGTATATCCCGTACAATTCATGTCGGATTACGTAATAGGTCTTTGTAATGTTCTCACATTTCAAAAGATGACGTAAAAGGCTATGAAAATTGCCTCAGATTGATTTTTCAAAAGTGGATGCGATCGTATTGTCAAACGTCCACCCGCCTTCCGAAAAAGTATGGAGAAAACCAATGCTATGCAACGAAACAACTAAACGATGTGACAAACATGATCAAATATAATTAATTTTGACCCTACTGTTACAGCTAGGTTCCTTTGTGGAGATAAGTGTGTGACAGGACGTTCAAATCGAGGAGATCATCACCAAATGGGTGTGTGCTCAAACAACTTCATTTTTAATTCCCTCTCATAAGTCTCAACTTTTTTTTCTTCTTCTCCATCATTTACCCGGAACAGGTCGCAACTTGGATGAGGAGTCTCTGCAGAAAGAATTTACCAACCTGATAGAAGAGTCAGACGAGACTATGGTGCAGTGACCAACACTATTGACGTATGTAGCCATTCAGCGACCACCATTATCAGCACCTCGTAATGTAGCCCATCCCCCTTGCACAGAGGTGTCATTTCCATTGCGTTAATACCTGCGCTAATACATGCGCTAATAAATTATGTTACGTGATGGCAATAAGCTCACACGGTCATGTACGCCATTCAACGTGGTGTGCAACGTTCACTTTCCACTTCCCTTAAAACAAATATTTTATCTAGTCATGCTAGTAGTAGTATGGTGCGTCAAGATCGCACCAGTCGTTGACGCAGTCTGTCGCAGTCTAACGTCAGGTAAATGACACCACGTGTGCAACTGGCATGATGAACCTATTCAGTTGAGCAGCACCTACTGGTGTGAGGAACATGGGTCAATTATTGACTTATTTCTGTTCCACTACACAGTAAAGATACAGAGTGCCAAACCCAGAGAAGAGATAAAGAGAGAGAGAGAGAGATTGGCTGAAGAGAAAGAGAGATCACGGTTATTTTGTGCTCAAATTATAAAATAATCATGCTTTCACGAAACACTAGGCCCTATCACAATTTGTGTCTATATAATACACAGGTCTGTAGGTGTAGTTTTTTTTTCTTTACACACGTAGCTCAGGTTTATTACAGTTTAACTGAGGATTGCTTGATATTCCTTATGTATCAAATCCGTGAAATAATACGTTCTCAGGTTTGCTACTTAACGATTTGACATGTCACGTCTTTTGACATAATTTGGGCCCTGATCTGAGGCTTGCAAGAGGTTTAGCTCATTCCAACGCACAATTTACATGGTTTAGTGTTTCTCCGGAATGATACATTTATAAGATATTCATTCACGAATAGACAACTCTCCCAGCAATATAATATAATGGCCTTATACCAAGTAGGCAGCGTACTTTTAATGGTTCAGACGGATTAAATTTGATCAGATGTCAGTTATGCCAATATCGTTTTATTCTTTGATAATCGCTGTTCTCCCTTCTCCCTTTCAACAGGTACACTTTGTATGCATGGATTGTAGTTTTGGGCCTAAATAGCAAAAATAAATGTTTATTTATAGCGATTTAGAAAAATTTCTCAGTTATCGAATCTTATGAAACGAACCATCGAAGGATAAAATATCAATTACTTCAGCATTCGAGATATGGGTCATTTGTAAGGCAATGACCCGATTGGTCACGCCCCATATATACACCCAGAATAATCGGATGTTTATTTGACTAAAATAATTTTGATTCTCTTATTTCAATGTGAACTCATCATCATTATATCGAAGGTATAGTGGTTGATTGCGTTTAAGTCTGGATATTAATTGGACAGTCATTGTCCTATTTGCATTTATTGACACAATCCCGTGACCATTTAATACGCTACCTGAAAACTTTTAGAGTAAGACTTGTTAGTAGCTTGAATTTGAATGGCAATTTTGTAATTACAGTTTTAAACTTTTAATCATGAAAATAGGTACTGACATTGCATTTTCCCCGGGGGCTAAACGACAAACTGTTTTTTATTGGGTTAACAGTACAAGGGATCTACAGTTTCAACATTAGGTCTCAAAGAAAAACTTGAAATTTGAATACAAAATCATGTTTAGACTATCTTTGTCTATTTCTTATTGTTTTGTTTTGTATCATCAGACATATATGTTATGATAAGCATGATAAATACAAAAATAAAAATGCCACCAATTGGGGCATCCCTTTTTTCAACTTCTGTAGCGAAATATCGTTAGTTCAAATTACTCGAGTGTGATATTTTCAGAATATGAAACGTGAAAGGCCTATACATAATTGTAAATACTAGTACATACAATTCTCGAGGTCAATTTCAATTAAGAAATAGCATTACCAAGAAATAGGTAGGAGTCAGGAGGCCCCCATAACCCCTTTGTTGGATTCATTTCGTATCGTTGTCTTCTTGACAATTAATAGTTTCTGTTGAAGTAGCTATTAATCCATTGCATCGTTTCGAAATTTCAAGTAATTTTGAACAATTCATATGCCCTGTGATAAAATGAGCCCGAACCTGGCTGTCGACGAATTCTTGAAGAACCAATCTATATATTTATTTTAACAATTCTACTGTAATTCACTGTTTTGTTTCCACCACAATGAAAGTGGGCAGGGGTAGAAGCAATGCCAATTTCACTTTACACGGTTCCACATTCAAGTCACTTGATATGTTGCAATTTTCGTGTTCCGATTGGAGCATGCTGGTAATGCATGCTCAATATGGAATGAAACGATCGGGATTATGACTGAAACGTTTTGTTCCGACTTTCTATGTGTCGAAATGCATTGTCATTGTATAATAAAGACCTTTTTTGTAAAGAAAACGACAATTGTACGTTTGTTCTGTATTTTTTTAAATTTCTCAATGCGTCTTACTTTTCAGATGGCATAGTTTACATAATGCAGGATGGAAAAGGAGAAAGGAGACGATAAAGAGTATTTTTAAAGAGAGGATGGAATAGTGTGGAAGAGAAGGAAGAGAGGACATTTTACAAGTGCAAAGAAGGGATGATAATAATTAGAATAAAAAAGGAATGAGGACCAAAATTAAGTATGAGTAAATGAGAAAAAGAAGATCTGAACTGATGATGTCGAGGGGAGCTGAAGTTACTCGTATTCCCATCCATTTAGCCCCCCCCCCCCCCTCTCTCTCCCTCTCTCTCTTTCTCACACACACACGCACACACACACACACACACACACACAAGACAGCTAACAATGCTAACGCCTCAAGTAAAACGGAGCTTTCGAGGGCTTCCTTACCCCACTAAGTTTTAATCGTTATTGCTTCTGTTTATTGTATTCAAAGGGACGCCGACAATATCATTATTTGCCTTCCACGCCCCCCCCCCCCCCCCCCCCCACCTCCTCTATCATTATAATCCATTGACCGCCAATGGTTCTCAAACATATTTTCTAAAACACTGGTTACTAAATGTAACGTACATCTTTCCATCTACCCTCAATTTGTATGTATATCGGGAAGGGGTGCGCCCCCCCCCCCCCACATACAAACACAGCCGGAGAGGTATATACTTAGGAAATTTGAAACTCACCTGTGTGTCATAAAGTCAATGTAGTAGCTGTAAAAACGGCCATTGAAAATTGATTCTGTACATTCTTGTTTTTGTAAGAAAATAATGAGTCGCCTGAGGGGGGAAATGAATCCATTGTTTTAATGTGTATACATGGCTAAATGCATCTGGTACCTCTATTGAGATCCCGTAGAGGAGAATAGGAGATTTTTTTATGAGAACCATAAATCAAAAATCGAGGCAATATTTTTACAGATCGCCCACTGTTGGCGCATAAATTGCTTGTGAATACGGGTAACCTTGTTCAAGGCGACCGATTTATGATTGGCGAAATATGGCGCGAACATCTTGAATTGTGATTAAAACGCCACCATACTCAAGGTTAAGCCCATAAATACCTCGTCCATGGGCTACCCATTGGTCCGGACCTAGTCTAGGTGTTTGGAGCCACTTTGGGAAGTGGTGCCCCAAACTTGCTCTCGTCCTCATACGAACGTAGCTCCTTCTACCACACAAAGCACGCATTGCCCCCTTCCTCCCCCTTTCCTCATTTATATTTTGTTTCGACATACATTAAAAAAAAAAAAAATTCATGATATTAATATGCATCAACATTATGAGTGCCATCGATGGCGGAGCACAGGCCTGTTTCCAATAGGTTGGGCGAGGGGAGGGGGGCGGGGGGGGGGGGGGTAACGACCGTGAAGTACGGGTAAGTATCAATTGGAATATCAAACTTGATGGTGAAATGCAAGGGAACAAGGCGACCTAGCTGGGTGACGAATATAGATGAGTGAGTCGTTATGTTATACCAGGGAGGTTATACCGAAACACTCAATACCAGAGCCCTATACAAATGATTATGGATATACATGTACAAGGTATACCATAAAAGCATATAATATGATCTTTCTATTCCTACTTGACAGTAATTTCTGTATTTCTTTTCCCGGTATTCTTTGTTCATTGTTTCTTTAAAAATCTCATTTTCTGCAATGCAGATCTGTCGTCTAGAATACAATTCGGAAGAACATAATGTTCTAGGATTCGAATCCAAATGTTCATTTGAAGTTATTGCGTCAGTGTTCCATAATACCATGCCATTGCCCATGAAAAGAATCCGAAATCCGTTGCAGGTAGGGAGGTAAGCGCGTTATTTGCCCGACGTAACTCACGTAAGGACGTGCAAACGAGTGATTACAGAATAAAAAAGAGTCAACTTTTCATCAAATTGGTTGCGTATTGTCTATTTGGCTTCAATTGCTTGATTGGCGCAAGTAATAGCGCACTCGAAATGACGCATGGTGTCCAAACATGCAAAGGGGTCTGCCGCAGGAGTCTACCACGCCCGATTTCGGATCAAGGAGTGTGACGAAAAGCTCCCCCGTGTCACGATCCATTATTTCCATACACTGGTCATTAAAACCCTGGTAGGTCATTAAATCAAAATATTGGTAACCAGGAAATATAACAAAAAAAGAAAAATTGGTTGATGGCCGGACATATCTTGTAGATGACCACAGCGCATGTCCACTCGAAGATTTATGGACGGAGGGTCAAAATGTTGACAAATTTTGTGATGATTTAGATGATTGGTATTGGTCGTAAGGTAAATAGAGATGATGATGTTGGTGTGGGCATCTGCGATCAAGGCCGTCACGCTCTAGAGTGTACTGGAATGAACTAGTAGTGTTCCAAAGAAGTTCTTGCCATGTACTGAGAACAACGGTCAATGGTCCTTTAGCAGAAATTAGAGATGCACGTAATTAAACGGTTCCTTGTGGTAATTTGCCAGATTTATGTAAATAGGAGAATTGTGGACAGTTTAGACACTCAAGAAGAGATGAGCACCAAAATGGCACTAAAAAAATATTTTTAAAAATAGCTACCCTTATTTATAGTACTATTAGAAAATTTGGAAATTGATGAAATTTTTCTTTTAATTCCTTTAAAATAATATCAGAATCGTGGTACAAAATCCAACTCGTAAAGGAAAAAAGATGTGGAAGTAGTAATAGAGACAAAAAGGGCCAAACTTCGGTATGTGCTAGAGAAAGAAAGAACAAGGTACACAACAATTAAGGAAGATAATTCATACGAAACACACCCATTCAAAGAAGCATGTGAATCTGCCAAAATTACATTGAAATCATTTACATTGGTATCAGTTTCAATACCCTCAATATCTAGAAAAGTTAAAGCCTACACTCTTAGATACAAAATAGTATAGAACCTTTCACTTATTCTCATTTGTGAGGCATAAGTTCAAGACCCGTTCTAGGAATTACTTCTTGAAGTTTAGAATTGCTTACCGTGGTTGCCCGAAGATTTAATTGAAGATAAAAAACAGATTAATGACAAATAATAACTTAAAACATGCAGTAATCGAGCTTATCCATCGTTATGAAGTCAATTCAACTACCTTACAACATAGTTTGGTTATGAAAATGCTCCCCCCCCCCCCAAAAAAAAAAAAAAAAAAATCGTTCTCATCGGGCATTGAACCCGCCTTTTCCGGGACGCAATAAAATAAGGTATCGTCTGCAGCGGGTGGTAGCTACTCGAAGCACCTTCCGTTAGCAGCCCTCTCACTGCGAGACAATGTACATCCCACTCATCGCCCCCCCCCCCCCACCACAGAACCCCCAGGATGTGGACTTCTTGTTCCTACAACAAATAGCATAATTGCTGATTTCATGTTATGATAGATTTATGACGGAGCGAACAACTGTTTTCCTATTTCATTACTACTGATTTATGAGCCCCATTAACGCGTTAGGAAAACACTTGTTAATTGAGCGACTGCGGGTCGTTAGGCTGCCCCCTTTTTTTATATTCCATTCTCGTCTGAATTTCGGGCGTTACATTTCTTCATCAACAACAAATTATGCCGTTTATGCACAGCTATTGACGTATCCTCATTGTAAATTGATAAATATCCAGACTTATCCGAAATAATCTGACCCGGAGCATTGCTCAGTTAAACCTAATTTGCTTGGCCTCATTGCATATTTTATATGGCAAAGTGTCCGTTTTTCCCCCTACACTTGCTAAAGCTTGTGATTAGACATATACTGTAGAAGAATGCTAATTGATTTTGATAGATAGGCACACTGTGATATCACTTATTTAGAGGAAGTTTAACTGTTAATGACAACATTATTTAATCGCGACAAACAAGTGCCGCCTTTGCTCATGCTTTATTTAGTTATCTTAAAACAGTAAACAATGTTATACAATCAGAAATGAATTAAGATAATCTGACCAACACCTAATATTCCTCTTGTTTCTAAAAATACCATGTGAGGATATAAGTTTCTATAAATACCATAAGAAGATGATAAGGTCACTACGGTCTGTCTTCATGGAATGTTTTTTCCTTCTTGGTGACTGTCAAATCCCAACTTTATTTCAATTGAGGTTAAATAAACACCCGCAAAGTCTCAAAAAATGGGACCCCTGTTTAAAAATCAATTTCTACAAGTCACTTCAAACTTGTTTTAGATTTTAATAATCGGTCGTCTTTTACGCGGACCGTGAAACGTAAAAAAGGTGGACAAGAGTAACAAAAAATTCCACAAGACCCTTCGCATATCTCGAAACACAAAACAAACTGTAAATATCAATGATCGTGTTTACAAGGATTACACGTCTAGTTTTCATCCACCGCGGTGCGATAAGACCGCGGGATTAAGCCCTCCTGGGCGGCCACTTTGAAGTTTAAATACCCAAAGTGGAATCAAACAGACAAGAAAAACCCCGGATCAGGGACGATGAGAAAAGAGAGAGAGAGAGAGAAAGAGAGAGAACAAGGGGTTCGGGAAAATCTGAACAACTATGCAATCAAATTTTCTTATCACTCATTGCCAGCCCATTACGCCCGGCAAATGCGTAATAATAGATCAAGTACTATGCCGCCGAGACAGGGCTCCGAGGAGGTGCAGGTGAGAGAGAGAGAGGGAGAGGAGAGAGAGAGAGAGAGAGAGAGAGAGATGAAGGGAGGGAGAGAGGGAGGGAGGGAGAGAGAAAGAGAGAGAGGGAGAGGGGGGAGAGAGAGACAGAGACAGAGAGAAGAGAGAGAAAGAGAGAGAGAGAGATAGACAGAGAGAGACGCACGCAGGTGAGGTCTGGCATTGCGGAGAACAGGTTGACCGGAAATTCCTCCCCGGGGAATCCCCTTTTTCACAACATGGGGCTCGCTCGTTAGAGAGCATTTCCCCCTCAATACTGGATTCGTTCAACAAAATGGAAACGATTTATGTAAATATCATGATTGATATATTGGCCTTCAGAGA